AAACACATGTCTTTTGCAGCAACTTGGATGGAGCTGGAAAAGATCATGCTTAGTGAGATAAGCCAGAAAGAGAAAGAAAAATACCGGATGGTTTCTCTCATAGCAGGAGTATAATGGACCAGGCGAGAAAATAACAAGAATAATGAACAGCCATATACCAGAGACATTTTGCGGGGGTGGGGGGGGAGGAGTGGGGAATGGGATCAACAGGGTCTGATTTGGCTCATGGACTCTTTGTTGTTTGATTTCATGTTAAGTAACTGCAGCTTTGCTGGCATTGTCCCTGGACAGGACAGAGGGAGATTTGATCCAACAACTTGGACTTATAATGAATCAATAATGTATCATTGAACTATTCTGCTATCTTGTGACTCTCTATTTTTCCCTTTTAGGCAAGAAACTGCATATATTCTGGTTTATAGCAAGACTGAGTCCTAATGTTTCTACCTTCAACTTCAGAGATTGATAAAGTATAGATTTCTTTACTATTCTGTACCTGATGATGCTTTTAAGCAATTTTGCAATGAGGAGAAGCACCCTTTTCCAATTGATAGGAACAATGGTTTATGGTTTGCTCATGAAAAAGAACGAAATCTTGTTTTTCTTTTTCTTTTGTGACACATGAATACACCTGGAGAACATTACACTAAGAGACATAAACCAGACAGGAAAATACTATATGATCTCACTTATTTGTACAATCAAAAAATTTCAAACTTATGAAGAATAAAATGGTAGCTATCAGAGGCTGGGGTGGTGCAAGATCATGGTCTCATCATTCTTAATTGAGACAAACAGCAAGGCAGTTAGCATGAATAGGGCAGTATTGTGCACTTGAGTTTTGCTAAGAGAGTAGTTCTTAAATATTTTCGGCACACCAGAAAAAAAGGAACTACATGAAATGCTGGATGTGTTAATTAAATTAATTGTGGTGATCATTTCACAATGTATATGTATATAAAAGTCATCTCTGTGTATACTTTCCATATAAATACAATTTCATTTTCATTTTTTCCTCAGTGTTGCTAGAAAAAAAACTGACTTATTACACTTGGAAAAATATTTATGTTGCTTCAAATTCCCAACCTTTAAAAAAATTGTAAAAAAAAAAAAGTTGTAAAATAAACCTATTTATAATCACAACTGATTGTCAAAATGCTTAGTGGTAACGTGGGTCTTGATTAGTCAGAAAGGTCACTTCTGCCTGTCTCGTGGCTGGGCCGGCCTCCTGAGAGTGTCCAGACGTGCCAGGCATTTGTCGTTCAGTTCGGAGATTGTGGAGTCTGAGAACTCTTGATGCCAGACAAAGCCAAAGGCTACCCAGGGATCTCAAACTGTTTGGGGGGAAAACTCAAGTTGCCTGTTCTAAGGGTTTGGTCAACTGTATGCACATAAAACAGAATTCTTAGTGTGCTCAGTGATTTTTAACTGGTGAGAAGTACCAAGGGCCTAGAGAGACCATGTAGTAGATATTTGTAGTGGAATACTACTCAGTCATGAAAAGGGTGGAACTGGAGCAGACTACCCTAAGCAAAATTAGTTAGAAGGAAAGAGACTAATACCAGAATATCAGATGGCTTCACTTATATGTGGAATATAGAAAGACAAAACAAATGGTCGGATAAATACAAACTAAAAAACTACACCTTCAAAGCTGACTATGGGGGTTTGGGAGGGAGGAAAGGAGGAGCAAGAAGAAGGGTCTGTGGGGTGTGCTATGGGTTCTCTAGCAGTGGATGCACCATGGCAAAACACCCAAAAAGGACCCTACTCTCCTCTAATATAAACAAGGATGCAAGCCAGGATCAACACAATGAAAATATTTGCAAAAAAGAAAAAACTGCTCTATCCTAGAAAATGACCAAGATTTCAGCAATACATCACAGCTCAGAGACGTGTAGTCAGAAGAAAGACGTCTCTTCCAATTGCAATTATTGTCTCACCTTAAACTCATCTTTTTAGGCTCATTGAACCAGTTGGTCTCTTCTGAGTTTTAAATAATTCCCATCAAGAAAAAAGATGTATCAGAAAAGCATAAAAGGAAAGAGTCACAGTGATGACATCAGTAGTGACAAGAACAGTCTTTTGGGTCAAAGCTGGCACAGAAGAGAGGGGGCGGCGGGAAGCCGCAGCAAAGAGGATGCACAGTGGCATCGGCTGGCGAGACTCATGGTGGTCACGCAGTCAGCCCTGACTCCTGGCCTTTGGTGGCCACTGACTGGGGCAATCAGCTCATTCTCAGTACCTCGCTGCAAACTACACATCAAGATTACACTATCATTTACTGTTCTCACACACACAGACTCCTGTGTGTCTGTGTGTCCTGTATGTCTGTGTCCTGTGTGTCGAGGCTCCATGATATCTATTAGGCCACCCGCGCTGGCAAAAACAGGCTGAGAAAACTCTGTCTCCCGCTGGCCCCACATTTCCAAGCCAGGCACACCTAGTTTACTGCATCTACTACAGGGGAAAGATTTGGAGGACGCTTCTCCCTCGAGGACTCAAGTAAAGCCCCACATCCCTGCCTGCTTGATAGATCCAAAGTGAGTTTTGACGTGGCTTATCCCAGTGCATCCTCGGTGTTTAATGAGACCTCACAGAGGCCTGCGCTCTTGGGACTGGCAGCATAGTGAGAAGAGGCGGGAATGAGCAACGGGTGTGAGATCAGTCCAGATTCCTTCCGGTTCCCCAGGCTGCAAGCGTTCCACGTGCCCATCAGGGATTCCCGGTGTGAGAAAGGATTGAGGTGGACCTGCAGGGACTCTACCGTTGGGGTTGTGTCTCTACACGCCTCCTGGCAGTGTTTTGTGGCCATCCTGGGCAGGGAAGACTCACCATTGGTTTGGGCAATTTGAAGAGAAGTGTGGAACCCTCAGCATCATTTTCACGGGTCTTAGTGGTAAGCAGGGAACAAGCCAGCGGGAGTCAGCAAACCGAGGCCCCAGCCGCAGGGGCTCTTTTACCCCCCACCTGGCCACAGGTGTGCACACTCACACAGGCACGCACACCCATGCTCAGGTGTCCACAGTCAGGCATGTGTGCCCCACACCCACGCGCCCTCTACATTAACAATGGTGTGAAAGCCTGACCTGCACCACTCACCCTGCAGGCAGTCTCAGGGTGTGTGACTTCTCCTCCCTGGACACCATTGCTACCCCGAGAGATTTTCCTGCACTGTGGTTCAGACTCCTGTGGTCCTGACCATCAAGCAGCAAATGCTACTCTTAGATCCGTGATAGTAGAAGTAGGATTAGAGGTTTGCCCGCCCCAACCTCACTCTAACAAAAGAAAACATGTGACAAAGGTGTTGTGTAGATAAAAAAGGAAGTGAGATTTTGAGGAAAGGGGTGAAAACGACCACAGACGCCAGGAGTTCGTCCAGTCATCCTTGATTTGAAGTAGCATGCGCTCTGAAATCAGTTACTGATAATAAAACTTCCCAGTGAGGTCAGGAAATGATGATATCTAAACTTCAGCTCTATCGAGAAAACTTGAGGTGCTGGAAAATCTACTGAAACACAGTGAGTTCCACAGTTACTGCATCAGTGTGAGCAAAATAATCAAAAACTTGGACTCACCTTTAGTTGAGCTTCACCCTCTGGCCAGAAGGCAAACGGCTCTAACCAGGAGACCCAGCAATCATGCCAGACATTGGCTGCATCTGTGAGACAGATCCCTACTGAAGTGTAGTTTAAGCGGGACAAGCTGACAACAGAGCAGGGAAAACATGAGGAAAGTGACTGTAGAGTGAAAGAATTGAGAGATTTTGCCTAAGAAACTCCTGGTGAACCCCAGTTGCAGAATCTACTGAGAAAGTTAGATCGAAGAGCAATGTCCCTCCCCCGAACACTGCAGATGGAGAACATTTGTTAGCTCTTGAGGGGAAGTCGGCGCTTACTCTGGGTCTCTGAATGGCTGCTGCCTTTGCGGGATGGTTCGTAGGGAATCTGCTCATTGCGTGCCAGGGAAGATCTGCCACAGATACCTATATCTGTGTGTGAGCGCCTACATCTGAGGTGTGAATTTCACACACACAGTGGTGGTTTTATTTTTTAAAGATTGGGGTTTTTATTTATCCATATAAGAACTGGGCTGTAGCCGGGGGTAGGTTGGTGAGAGGATTCACCAGAGAGAGACGGACTGACATACACGGCTGAGGGGGACAGCTCCATGTGGGTCACTCCCTGACTGGGGATTGAACTCAGGCCGCAATGGCTGCTGGTAGCTTGATAGCAATGAGACTCTAACTCCTGTGCAACCAGGGAGGTGCAGTGGTGATTTTTTTTTAAATTTTTTTATTTTACAAAAGTTTATTTTTACACCATTTTGTACATTTTTTTTTCATCTTAATTGTAACCCCCGCGGGTTTCCCATCACCAAGTCACCCGTGTGCCATCACCATAATCCCGTGTACTTCGCTCCCCCGTTTTTGGTTTTTGATCCCACTCCACCCCCACAAAATGTCTCTGGTATATGGTTCATTATTTTTGTTATTTTCTCGCCTGGTCCATTATACTCCTGCTATGAGAGAAACCATCCGGTATTTTTCTTTCTCTTTCTGGCTTATCTCACTAAGCATGATCTTTTCCAGCTCCATCCAAGTTGTTGCAAAAGACATGTGTTTCTCTTTTTTGGTGAGGCAGTGGTGATTTTAATAAAGACAGAAAGCAGAACCTCCCTGTGGTGCAGGGGTTAAAGTCTCAGCAGTATGAAGCTATCTGTAGCCATTGCAGTATGAATTCAATCCCCAGCCAGGGAGCTGACCCACAGAGCACAACTGACCTCTCCTGTCTCGCCCTCTGCTCCCCTCAGCAGTGTATTTCAGTCCTGTTCTACTCCCCACTTTGTCTTTGGTGAATCCTCTCACCCCCCGCACCTCTGGCCTGTACCCCAGTTCTGTATGCATAAATAAATAAATCTTAAAAATAAATAAGTAACAGAGTCCACAGATCAGAGCTGGATCAACACAACAAAAATAGTTGAAAAAAAAAAAGCTGACTTATACTACAAAATAACCAAGAGTTCAGCAATATGTCACAGCTCAGAGACATGTAGTCAAAAGAAAAATGTCTCTTGCAATTGCAATTATTGTCTTACCTTAAACTCGTCTTTTCAGTCGCCATTGAACCTAATAGTCTCTTCTGGGTTTTAAATAATTGCCTTCAACAAGAAACGTCAAACACTGCCCCAGAGAGAAAGTCCTATACTTCCTAATAAGTGTCCTTGCTCGTTAACGGGAAACTGTGTGCCTGGGACTCCAGGGTCAGCATTGGACTGAGACTTCAGGAAGCACCGGGCGGGAACACCAGACAGCAGCCCAGCAGCCCCCAGGGGTCTGACCCAGCCTTGCTGCCTCAGCACAGGTGACTTTCTGTTTGGTCCCACAGTGAATTCCTGTCAGGGACACTCCTGGGACAGCGTTGAGAATTACCATGGAAATGAAGAGAAGGTATGTTACAGGCTCTTGCAACCACTTAAGATTTTAAGAACTCTGTCGGTTGTGCAGAATAGGCGCTTCTTTGGGGAAATTGTCTTTGTTCTTCCACAGGCCACTTGCAGAGCAGAGGGACACGCCTCTGTTAGGGTGATCAGAAGAATGACCCTGGACCTGCCTCCCCCCAGTGCTCCTGACGCCGAATATTCTAATTCCCAGCATTCGGAGATAAGGAAGAAAACCGTGTTCTGATGTACTGAGTGTCAGACTCCTGCAACGGGGTTTCTCCTTGGAGGGAGACTTTACCAATGATGTATCAACTCAGGGTGGGAAAGACAGAAAACTCAGAAATTGCTCCCTCTGGGGAAATGAAACACAGAGTTTCTTCCAAGAAGTCTGTTGTTAGCCTGATCAGTTTTCGTTTCGATGTTACCTGTTTCTATCCCTTCATCAAGTTCATTAGTCTTTCTTTGTCTTGGACTCGTGGAAGTTTCACTACTGTGTGTTTTGCTGTCGTTTCCCTTTCATTATGATAGTTTGACACCCTACTGGCTTCCTGGATGTCTTTTTTCATTTCTTGCTTCAGTTTTGGGACATGCAGGAAGCCAGAAGTATGTCAAATAGGGACATTCTCTTTAATGGTGTCTGACTAGTTTTTCAGCTCCCGTGTCTCTCTTTGGGACTCCTATAATTCAGAATTCCTTTCCTTGTGGAGTCAGATAGTTTTGAAGTGTTCTTCATTCTTTTTCCTTTCTTGGCTCCTTTCATATCTGTGTCTTCTAGAGGACGGATTCATTCTTCCACACCATCTATTTTCATGGCTTTTTTAAATTTTTCAACTCCTCCATTCACCTTTTAATATCCTGTAGCACCTCTATTCTTTTATTTAAAATTCCAATCTTTTTCTTCTGGTTACTGGTTGTTTTTTGTATCATCCTTTTTCTTTTCTGGGTCTTTTTGTATATTTCTGATGTGATTTTCTGAGTGTGGATCCATATCTTTGACTCTCTTCAGTAGAGCAATTTGATTTCCTCATCTGACATGGAGGAAAATTCTCTGTCATGGTTGTTGGGTTCTGGAGTTTGATTTCCTCTCCCTGCTGGGCTAACTGGGTGCTTCCCTTCATTAGGGAAGTCCCCCCACTTTTAGCCCCAGGTGGGGTTCATGATAGGAGCAATGTGTGGTGTGCTAAGTGGGGGCATCCCTAGGCTAGGAGTGCCCTCTAATTTTAGTTTAGGGGAATTCACAGGAGCTGCCCGCATTGCGTGTTGGGGTTGTGGCCCAGGACAGTAAGCCTCCTGCAGAGCAATGCGGTAGGCCTCCCTTACCTAGGAGAGGCCCCCACTTTTAACCCCAGGAAGGGTTCATGACAGGAACCACCTGTGTAGCTGAAGGGGACCTCCCTAGTCTCCTGTCCTTGGAGGCCAGGACCAGAGTCTCTTCAACTGCCTTATATCCGCTTTACGTGTCCTCCACATACAAGTCTGATTGGATTGTTTTCAATCCTAAGTGTGATTGGACCAGTTAGCACCAATCAGCTTATAGATCACACCTGATTGGTCCATTCTATGATCCAGGCCCCAAGTATAAAAGGGAGGCCATTGGCCCCCAGGGAGCCATAGCCGGGGATGGCCTGTGGTGGAACAGCAGTGGGAAAGACTCCAACGGCTGCTGCAGGCTGAGGGGGCTCCTGCCATTGAGGTGAGGTTCCAATTTCAGTTTCCCTTAGTTCTTGATCTCCTGACCCTCAAACTAAAAGTCTTTCTGCAAATAAAAGTACTATTAGTTTCCCTCAGGAGAGGCCTCTGAAGATTATGACCTCATGTATGATACAACCACAAGTGAAGTTTCCTGACTCTGTGGCTGAAGTTCAGGGTTAATTGTATGAGATAAGTCTATTTTTGCTTTGGCCACCTGGCGGCCACCTGGTGGAGCTGGTTCCTTATATTTTCCAGAGTATATGGCCTCCTGAGGGTGTAACTAAAACAAGGTGATAAGAAGTTCAACTGTTTCTCCTTGTGAATTATTTCATTTTGCATAATGCACATACCAGATGATTCCACATAGAATGCAAACATACAAGACTGAGAAAAGACAAGGGCCCTCCTTGGCGGCACAACAGGTTAAAATGCAGCACTATGAAGCTATCACAGCCATTTCAGCACGAGTTCAATCCTTGACCAGGGAGCTGACCCACATGGTGCAGCAGACCTCTCCTGACCTGCCCGCTGCTGTTCTCAATAGTGTATTTCAGTAGCTCTGCCTGTTCTGCTCCCCACTCTGTTTTTGGTGCATCCTCTCACCGTCCTTTACCCCCATTCTGTATGGATAAGTAATTTTTAAAAAACAAAAAAAGAGGGCCCTCCCTGGTGGCGCAGCGTGTTAATGCACAGCACTGAGAATCTAAAGCCGCTTCCGCATGAGTTCGATCCCCGCCTGCCCCAGAGGTGACCCACA